GGCGTCAAATAGGCTCTCTTGAAGGCAATGTATCAGGAGCTTCTCGTTGTCTATGCGGGCGGCCATTTTTGACAGTACATCCTTAGATGCCCTTTCGGACAACTAGTACTAGTGTACTTCTGGAATTCAGGGATCTTGAATTTGGCGGAGAACTCAATGTATTATGCCAAGTACATTTCCACAACTTCTTGAACGTCAAAGTTGTGGCCCTCCACAGCTGTCAGCCTTTCTTCCAAGGCATCTAGGTGATCCTTGGAAGCATCCCCAACATTACTAGCACTATTGTCGAAGTGTTGCAGCTTGTTCATAGCTTAGAACATCTTAGCCATTTGTTCCTTGAGCTACATAAGTTCTTCATTAAGCACACAGTTTCTCTCCTCTAAGGCTTTCATAGCTCTTATCCTTTAAGTCCTTGTAAGTACAAAGTGTTGAAAATCCACCTTCGAGGGACAACAATAATTTCTCATTAGACTATTAAATGAGAACAATCGAAGGAGATCCCTTAACAAAGACTTGGTGACTCATCTTTGGGAAAATGAGCTGTCGGTGTTCCTTTTCGTAATATTTTATGATGTGACAAAGGTCACATTGACTTTTTCTTTGTTAGAGGTCTCATTGATGATCCTAATAATACGCACGACATGCATTTCTTATATACTCGTTCAAAAAAAAATTATCTTAGGGGAATTTTTTAAATATAAACAAATAGTTTTGAGCTATCTAGGACTCTAAAAGGTAATTTTTTGGTCCAATCCTGGTCCTAGAGCACTGTGTACGATGCTCTTATTTATTAGCTTCAGATCTGACCGGAATGGGCCATTCCAATCATTGGAACGGGGTGTTCTAGACTAGTTTGTTATGAGTAATTTTCGAAACTGGAACAACCTGTTCCAAAATTGGAATGGCCCATTCTGGATTTAAAATTAACTCGTAACAACCTGGGTTAAAACGATCTATTGCACATTGGGAATGCCCCATTTTGACCTAGGGTTTTTAGGCTTTTTTAGCATTTTGGAACGACCTGTTCTAGATTGGGAACGATCTGTTCCGAGCTCCTAATTCATTCTTTTGGTTTTGGGGCCTTTTGACATCTTGTTGGTCCATTTTATCGTATTTGGGGCTTCGAAATATTCTTTGTCTTGTATTTAAAGGTTCATTTCTTTGTTTGCATGTCCGAACGAAATTAGGTATCTACATGCAGCTTGAGTTGTGTCCATTCCCTTGGCCAAAGGGTTTCTTATATAGTCATTTAGAAGGCAAAAGCATAGAAGAGTTGTCCGATGTGGGACTTAATCCTTTGGATTTCTTAGAAGTGGGACTAAATCTACAAAAAAAAATTCTTTTTTAGGCACCATGCGGGACCTCTAAAGAACTCGTTAATTGTTGGATTGCACTGGTTCTTTGATGGTACCCTCTCAATATATTGATCTTTAACTTCAACAGTCGGATTGTTAAAATTAGGTCTATAGCGAGAGATACTGTCAGAACAAAAACATTGTTTGATATAAGACTCCTCTTTTTTTAGCTGTTGTGCGGGGCCTCTAGAGAATTTGTTAACCGTTAGATTATACTAAATTTCTTATAGAATATTCTCAATATATTGATCATTAAATTCAATGGTCTGATTGTTGAAAATAGTTTTGTAACGAGAGATACAATTAGAACAAAAACGCTATCCAATGTGAAGCTCTTCTCCTTTTTTCGGAAAGGGGAACAACCATTCCAAGGTTGGGAATGGCCTTTTCATGCCCCCAAATTAGGGTTTTGAGTCTTCTGGTGTTGTTTTGATCCATTTAGGTGCTTTATTGGGCCCTCGAGGACTAATCGTGTCATCTTAGTGACCCTTTGTCTTTAATAGTGGCAATCCGGATGAAATCTGGTGTCTATATGCTTGACTGACAACTTAAGGTTTGTATTTCATAGTGATGGATTATTGCACATGCGCGCGTGCGCACACACACATACACACACACACACACATATAATATTGTATTTAGGTGATTTGAATATATAAATCCTAGGTATTTTAGTTTTTCTTTTGCTACTGGTAGTTGATTCCATTAAGTTAGAGACCATGGAGAATCATCACACAAACCAATAACCAAGAAATCTCATACTAAACGATAACCAACAACCCTTTTAAAATACACAAAAATAACAAAAAAACACTAGCCAAAGTGATAATGTTGTCGAATCACTATAAAAAATTAATAGATTTTCCCCCAAAGATTTATAATATAGGAAACAACCTAGGTCATTCTTCTCGAAGATACAAGTCAATTAGATCCAAAATCATGACATCATTAGAAAGGGGATTTTTATCAACATCAAATAGAATTTAGAATATTACAAACACAAACAAAAAATTCAATCAAAAATTATATCGATTCAAGATTTTAATTCTTACGATAAAATTTTCACGATTCAAATTATAACCCAAATTCAATCAACATAAATCAACATGAACATAATCTAAATATAGATCTAAATTTAAATCTATTGAATTTCATAAAAATATGAAACGCAATCGTGATCTCAATTTTATTGTGAAATTCAAGAACGATGAACAATCGGTTTAGGTAATTTAAGTTATTTTAAATCTAGATCTAGATCCAAAATTAATCTTCAAATCTGATTGGGATCCATTAAAAAAAATTCATAATCTTGAAGAATGGAAAACGGATCTAGAAAAAAGAAGAAGACGAGGAGAATTCTTACGATAAAAATAAATTGGGAACTTGAATTTTATCATAAATCATGAAACCTCAAATCGAATGAATAGATTAGACACACATCTTGATCAAAATGTTGCAGTTCCTTTGTGTAGAAAAATGTAAAGAAAAAATTTCAAGGGAGAAAGAAGACAGAGAAGAGAGAATTTAGGGAAACTTGTAGAGTAAACAACTCTAAAATCTAAAAAATGAACGTAAAGTGTATATAACAAGTCTTACAATACTTATTAATAGAGGAATATAATGGACCTAATCTAAGTAATTAAAGACCCAACCCACTATATCAACTAATTACATCATTAAATAAATCTTAACATTACAATCTAAAAAGAAAAGGAAAATATTGTAGAGGGCTTCAACTTTGCAAGACAATTGTGGGTCACTTAATGTTCAAATTGGTCTTTGTGTCCAATAGAGAAGGTGTAGAACTCTCTCTTATCTTTTCGAGAACACCAAAGAACGCCCAAATCCGATGTCAAGAGCTCTAGATATGGCCTGTACAAGAAACAATGTCAAATCAGGAAAAAAATATTATGGAAATTAACTAGAATTTATAACTAAGACCAAAATAACTCACTAGAACAAATTAAAGCTAATATATCATAATATGATACTAATATAAGTCGAATAAATAAAAAATAATACATAGAATGATATACAAAAATTAATCTTATCACAAAGCACTTGGAACTTTAATACTTAAAGCCAATTCATCATTGCTTCTCCTCTCTCTTGCATTGCCATCTCAAGCTTAGTGCAACAAAGCGACCGTTGATAGTGGTAAAATGGAAAAGTCATGTCTTGAGAGAAATTGGAATGGTTGGCGAAAAGTGCTCCTTAGCATAACAAGAAGCAAATGCTAGTCTCTATGGCTTTTTTTTTATTATTTTTTTTTTATTAAGTATTCATGATATTGGTATTAAGTTTCTGTTGTTGAAAAAAATGATTAATTTTTGTCAAGAACCGTAAATATATATAAAATAGGTAATTTTTTCTCAACATAAATTATTTCATACTTAAAATCAGGAGTGAAATTCTAAACAATTATGTTAAAAGCTATAAGTTGCTACCATTTTTAACCCAGTGTCTCATCATGCTTCGAACTTTTGAAGTGACAAGCACTAATTGGTGGTGCATGTGCGCTATGGAGATTGTTCGTAATCAGGGTCCCCAAACACATGGGAAACTAACGGTGTCTAAGACGAGGAAAGTGGACACAAAAGCTCTGCTTTCCTTATTTGACGGTAATTTCGTAGCCTTTCACAAGACCCCTGACATGTGTGACAAGAAACCATTATTTTTCCCACTATGGGGATGCATTGTATTTCTTTCTTCAATAGTCAATTAAATTAATTGACTGCATTTCTCCATACACTTTTAGAGTCGGTCTAGTAACGCGAGATTGAAATAATATTGTTGTCTTTGTAATATCTATGAATTAAAATATTGTTTACACATTACAGACATACAAGTGTTGGATTTTTAATTTTAGCTAAAGAAGATTTCAGTCCTATCTCTAAACATCAAGTCAATATTTTAGTTAAGCAATGTATTTTCTTGTTACAATTAAATCAGATTTATTGGAGGTTGAAGTCTGATGTCCCGCAATAAAAAGAAAAATGAAGACTGTCACAAGATTTATAAAAGAATGCTTGCAAATGTAGTATTTCCACTATAAAAATTGCTAATAATGCATTATGTAATACACTATTATTAGATAAAGTTTATTAAAAATCACAAATTTATTCTTAAGGTTTTGCTATTCTTTTTATTAATTTGTTATCAATAGAAAACATTACAATAAAAACAAAGCTTAAATATACGACTTTGTATATATTATTCTCACATCCACAAATAGTTCAATCCTAATGATTCAGTTCTGCGTCTTAATTTTTTAATGCTTGTTCTGTCTCTTATTTAATATTTCTTTCTCCTGATTTAATAAATTTTAGTCGACGATAGAGTGTATGTTAGAAATAGTGTGCTAGCACTTCCTCTTTCTATAATTATGTTACCTGCCAAACTTGACCATAGATTGAGTTTTCTTGTATATTATGACTGAACCATAAGATGATATTGGTGTAAATAAAGCACCAACTTACCAACAAAGTAGTGGCCTCATGAGATTAGCTATGGTAATGGTATCATGATGAGCTTATCACTACGATTCATAATGTGTGATTAGAAAATATCTGTAAAGTTACATCTAAAGCATATGGCATCAATGTCCACCAACATGCACCAGAAATGCTATATAAGTAGTATATGCCATGTTCAATTAATTCAGAAAACCTTAGTCCCAAGACAGAAAATATCAAAGAGAAACACTGCTCCTTTGAAAAATGTCAGACATTCTCAAAAAAATTGCAGCCACAGAGAAACAGAAATTTGAAGTCAAGTTCGGTAGGAAGAGTGTTGTAAAAGCACTCAATCCTTCACCAGAGCCATTTTCAATCACTCTCTCAAATCTTGACCTGCTTTCAGGTCGTTTTCCTGTTACATACTTGTATTTCTACCACAAACCAGAATTAGCCAACTTCAAGGCATTTGTTGAAACTCTTAAAACCTCTCTAGCACAAATACTTGATCACTATTATCCCTTTGCTGGCCAAATTGTTCAGAATCCCAAAACTAGTGAGCCTGAGATCATTTGTGACAACAACGGTGCACTAGTTATTGAAGCTCACACACATGTCCCATTAAAGGATTTAGATTTCTATAATCTCAATGAAACTCTTCAAGAAAAGGTAGTCTCAGTTGAACCAGACTTTCCCTTGCAAATTCAGGTGACAGAATACACTTGTGGGGGAATTTCCATAGCATTTACTTTTGATCATGCATTAGGTGATGCTAGTTCCTTTGGTAAGTTTATTGCTTCATGGTGTGAAATAGCTCAAAATAAACCACTTTCATGCACACCAGACCATACCAGACATCTTTGTGCACGTTCTTCTCCCAAATATCACCCATCCTTTGATCAAACTTTTATGAGGTGCACCATAAAAGAGATACAGAACATGCCAATGAACCATATCTCTCTTAAACGCCTTTATCATATCGAAGCATCAAGTATCAACATGCTGCAGAAACTTGCTTCAGTGAATGGTTTCAAGAGAACAAAGATTGAGGCTTTCTCTGCATATGTATGGAAGATAATGACTGGTGCCATTGATCAAAGGCATGAAAAGTGCAAGATGGGTTGGTTGGTTGATGGAAGAGAAAGAATGGTAATAGGTAATAAGAATTGTATGTCAAATTACATTGGCAATGTCTTGTCTTTGGCTTTTGGGGAGGCAAGTATTCAAGAATTGAAGGAACGATCTATATCAGAGATTGCCAACACAGTGCATGAGGCAATTTCAAAGGTCAACAATGAGGGTCATTTTTTGGACTTGATTGATTGGATAGAGTGCCATAGGCCTGGTTTGATGCTAGCAAAGGCAGTGTTGGGTCAAGAAGGACCAGTCATAGTGGTGTCCTCAGGACAAAGGTTCCCTGTGACAGAAGTTGACTTTGGATTTGGGACTCCCTTGTTAGGGACAGTGTACACTTCCATTCAAAGGGTGGGAGTTGGTTACATGAACCAAAGGCTAAGTGCCAAGGCTGATGGTTCATGGACTGTGTCTGCCATCTTGTGGCCAGAACTTGAAGCTGCATTGCAGGATGACCCAATTTTCCAGCCCATGTCTGCATCTCATCTTCAGCTTTAGTGCTATACATTGCTTTTGATCTTCTGTATGGTTCGATATCAGTGTCGTTTATTGCAAGTTTTTTTTTATAAGTATTCCAATAAATGTTGTCTAATTCTTAGTTTGTTATTAATGTTTGTGTAGTTAAGCATAACAACATGAGTCTTTTTGGATATAAACTCAAGCGTTTTTTTAGGGTTTTTCTACTAAAAAAATACTCTATATTTTTTTTTATAGAAAAACTCTAAAAAATGTTTCTATATTATATTTAAACAGACTCTATATCAATTATTAAGAGTCTATTTAGATACAAGTCATAAACGTTTTTGAAAGTTTCTCTACTAAAAATAATGCATATTTTATAATAGAGAAACTCTTATAAATATTTCTAAACTTATATCTAAATACATTCTAACACTTTAAAAATAACAAGCATTCTGAATATCAAATGCAATTTATATGTCAAGAGATTAATTGGGGACAAAGAGGAACAACACTTCTAAACGAGCATAAGTGACAATCACTATCAAGAAGATCAATCTAGTAATTTCAATTACCATTAATTTACCTTTTAGCATTGTATTTTTTTAAATAATACAATTTGTTTATAATACACTTATAACATTACTTTAAATGCTATTTTTACATTTGAATTAATTAATTTTGACAAGCAGTAATTTTGTTTCAAAAGATAAAAGTGATATGTTAAAAATAATTTATACACAAATAAGTGAATTATATATATTTTTAAGAAAATAACATTGAAAACAATAAAAAAATTATTGCTCATAATATATTAAAATTAAAAAATTTATAGAAGTAAATTATATATAATTTTCGTATTTATACAAAATAATAAATACATAATCAAATTATGCACCTAAAAATAATATTGTAATTTTTTTATTGATTTGATCATATCAACACTAGACTAACTAGAGTTAATAGGAAGAGCTAAAAATAACATTAAAAAATATCAAAGATCTGAAAGTATAAGTGTTCAAACTATTAAACTAAACTAAATTATGATAAAACTAAAAAAAATTTCTTCAGCTTTTTAACCTAAATAATTAAAAATATATATTTTGTAAAATGATTTTTTTAAAAAATAAATTATTGAAATAAGTTATTTTGGATACGTAGAATTAAGAAAACGTCATTGGGAGTGACGAGTTTCAGAAACCGTCACCACCAATGGCGCCACCCCCAGAAGCAGAAAATGTCAGGGGTGTTGATGCCTCTTTCACATGTCCAATCACCATTAGAGAAAGAAGAAGAAAACGTTAGTATGGCTGACACCTTCTGGGAAACGCAGAAAACGTCAGCCTGGTTGACACCTTCTAGTGTTGGCCAATCAACGCGATGGTGTGGCGTTAGAGCGTCTGATGTCTTGCATGCTTCCATCTCGTCCAATAGTGCTTTGAGAAGGAGCAGAATCTCTCATCTCTTCCCTTTTAAGCTGAGGGTGAGGATGATGGAAAATGTCACTAGATGAGGGCCTAGGGATGGCAAAAATACCCGCACCCGCGGGTATCTGTGGATAAAGCCTGCTACGGATAATAAATGGATAGGCTAATTGGGTACCCGCGGATAATGGGGACGGATAATTTTTTACCCGTTTATAAATGGGCCGGGGGCGGGTATGATGATATCCATACCCGCGGGTACCCGTTTAATATTATTTTTTAAATATCCTAATTATCCTTGTACCACATAACCCTAAAACTACACTCTCTCATCTTATTTTCTTACAAAAGTGAGGTTGATGAAGTTACCGACATGTGTTAAGCATGTTATAGAATTATGTTGGATGTAATTTGATTAATTTTCTAGTTTTGATTGGACCAATAAGATTTATGTATTTTAAGTTATTTACTTTCATTTGCAATTATGAGATTGAATTATTGTAGCTTTGTGATGAGACTTTAACTTATTTGTGAGATTGATGTATTTTAAGTTATTGATTATCTTGAATTTTTATTATTATTTCAACAAAATTAACGTTAAATAAAAGTTCAAAATTAACATTGAATTTTTATTTTTAATATTTCAATGACATTAAAATATAAACTTAAAATTATTTGTAATATAATTTTTTTAATTACTTAAAATTTTATAAATATCCATGGATATCTGTGGATATCCGCGGGTATTCAAGAAATTTATGGATACCCGCGCGGATATGGGGTGGGTATGGGGCTAATTTTCATTCAGCGGGGCGAGGGCGGGTTTACTATTACCCACCCCCATGGGGCCCCATTGCCATCCCTAGATGAGGCAGAAAGAGAAGAGTGAAGTAAAAGAGAGAGAGAGAGAAAGAAAGAGAAGAGGGGGGAAAGGAGGAGAAGAGGTAAGTTTAAATATTTAAATTTTTTTAATGTTTTAAAGAATTATACTATTTTTTTCATGTATAATTTTAGTTTTAAAAATATATTTGTGGGATATTTGTTGATGATTAAAATTTAGTATATGTGAAAATAATATTTTTTTAATTATAATAAAGTATTAAAATTATTGTTTCTATGGTTTTAATTATATAATTTGAATGTAGTAGTATAAGATTATTTTGGTTAGGGTTTAATTTTTTTTATGTTTAAATGTAATTTTAAATAATAATAATAATAATATTTTGTTGTTTGCATTTATATTTTTAGGTTATAGATTTGTTTATGTGAAATATTTGTTGATATTGCTAATGATTTAAATTTCTAGGAGTTTAGATTTCTTTTAGTATTTAGAAATAGAACAGTGAATAAGTGTGGTTTATGGTTTTAATTTTGATTTTGATGTTGAAGGATACAAGAGTGATTAGTTACAATTTTTTTTTAATTAATTATTTTTTGTGTTATAAAATAAAATTTATAATAAGATTAATTATTTTGTTAATTAAAATGAAGTTTAAAAATGTAAGTTTTTTTAAAAATGTTGTAAAAGAATTATATACTTTTATTTTCATGTATATTTTGTTTTTTATAATTTATGAATTTTTATATGTGAAAATTGATTGATGATTAAAATTTAGTATATGTGAAAATAATTTTTTTGTTAATTAAAATGAAGTATTAAAATTGTTGTTTCTATGGTTTTAATTATATAATTTTGATGTAGTAGAGAAAGATTTTTTTGGTTAGGGTTTAAAATTTTTATGTTTAATTGAATTTTTTTAATAATAATAATAATAATAATTAATTTTTTGCATTTATATTTTTAGGTTATAAATTTGTTTATGTGAAATATTTATTGATATTGTTGATGATTTAAATTTGTAGGAGTATAGATTTTTTTAAGCATTTAGAAATAGAAGAGTGAATAATTATGGTTTAGGGTTTTAATTTTGATTTTGATGTTGAGGGATAGAAGAGTGATTAGTTATAGTTTTTTTTTTTGGAAATAATTTTGTTTTGTGTTATAAAATTTAATTTATATGAAATTATTTTTTTATGATTTTAATGATATAATTTTGATGTAGTAGTATAAGATTATTTTGTTTAGGGTTTAATTGATTATTTCAATTTTATGCGTCCATTTCTTAATTTTGTATAATTTCATAATGCCTCGTCAAAGATTTAATCCAAGACCCATTGATGATTTATTGTTGAGTATGCAATCAATTCACATCTCTGAGCACATATGGAACGGTGGGACTGATAGAGTTCTTCGTATTAGAAGAGCTATCAAAAGCGACCATCGACATGGGTCAATTGCTAACGAAGTTAGACCTTGCATGAGCAAGGATGTTGGGCGTGGCAGAAATGTCATATTTTCCTATTGACCACCAATTAATTTCAGCATTAGTTAAGCGATGGAGACCCGAAACACACACTTTCCAATGACATTTGGAGAGTGTACAATTACATTGAAAGATGTATCAATTTTGCTTGGTCTTAAGGTACTTAGAGACCCAATTCCTGGTTGTTTGATATATAGATGAGTTCCACTTGTTGAAGATTTGTTCAGAATTACACCACCACCAAATGCAATTAAAGGTGGAAGGATGAAGATAAGTTGGATTGATCAATACTTTTTTGATGTTTTTCATACATGTGCACATCTGCAACAAATGGAGCAACATGCCCAAGCTTATATTTTGCGGTTGTTTGGGAGTATGTTTTTCTCTGACAAGTCTTCAACATTAGTACAAATGCGATATTTGGTCATGTTAATAGATTTAGACCAATGTGGACAACTAAGTTGGGGATCAGCCTTGCTTGCTCATTTATATAGAGAATTGTGTGTTGTCACTAATTATGACCATAAAGAAATTAGTGGGGCATACATTTTACTGTAGTTGTGGGCATGGTATCAAATGCTAAATTTTGCACCCCTAACGACACTACTAAATATTGTTAGCGTTCTTTTAAGTACAAGATAATATTTAAAATTAAATTATCTTATTAAATATTAGATTTAACATTAAATAGGTATTTTTAATTAATTTTTTATTTTTTCATATTTTTAGGTGGAATAATTCCTTGTAGGTGACACAAAGAACTCTTATTCAAATCTGATGCTTTAGATAAAATGAAGGATAAAGATGTACGTTGAGACTTTTTGTTGTTTACAATTTTAAAGTTGATATCTAGAAATTAGTATTCATTTATGACTTTTTGTATTTTTTGTGTGCAGTTTGTTTGGCAGTCATACCTTCAATATTTTCATTTTCTGCCATTATATTGTGTAGAAAACATAAATATTTGGAGGCGATAGTCCCATTGATAGACTTTTATATAATTGAGTATCATCATCCTGATCGTGTGATGCGTCATTTTGGCATGGTACAACACATTCCTCGTCCTCCACGTCAACCAAATAATTTGCACGATCTAACTTTATGTGGCAAAGATGATATTGATTGGCAAGTTTAGCACGCTATCTTTGTACACGAGTGGAAAACAAGATTAGACCGTGTTTGTACACAAGAATCTTGTACTACTACATGTTTAAATAGTAACTCAAAGTACATGATGTGGTATAAAAGGCACACCAGACGTTGCGCATTATTGCAAAATAAGGTTATATGGTAAGTCATATATAACAATAAATGTTTTATAATTAATTGTTTTGGTTGCATATATTTGTGTTTTATATTAAGTTGAACATGTAAAATTAACAAATTTTTAAATTACAAGAGGA